GGCAGCCTCCGCCTGGCACCGGGGAGGCCGCTCGGCCGCGGGGAGGAGTCGCGGCTGGGGAGGGGGCGGGCTGAGGCGGCGGCCATGGCGACGGGCCCGCGAGGGGCGGGCGGCGGCGGGACCCCGGGGCTCCCCGCCGGTCCCCAGCGCTGCGGGGCTTTCTTTTCTAATATTCTTTAGACTTTCAAATATTTCGGGACTTGGAGGTGAATTTTGTCTCCCGTTCTCTATCAACTCCCTCGTACTCCTCATTTATTCACACCATAAACTTTCAGTGGTGGTGCTGGGTTGGGGGACACGGCTTTATCTCTGCAGAAGGATAACTCCAATTCAGACTGTTTTCTACCCTGCGTAAAACCCACAACATGCCTGTAGCACTTTATTGTCGTTTTTAACTTGCAGTGCATCTTAGTAAGTTTACTATGAGGTAAATTTACCCTAAATTAACCTGCCGAACCCTTTCCCAGCGTGTGGGCTCCCCGACCGCCCAGGGAGCCGGCACTACCACGCAGGCAGGGGCAGGACCCATTTTTTTTTAGGACAATATTCAGCCGCTTTTAACAGTTGCGTCATTCTACAGGCCAGCAATGCTGCTTGCTGTCTGCTTTGAAACTTTGGTTCATTAAGAAAGACAGTATTTGGAGCAGAAAAGAGAAGTGAGTTCTCTCTGTGGGAAGTGACCCCTTGGCTCTGGGCTGGCTGTGGACAGGACAGAGGAAGCTGGTTGTAAGACTCTGTTTCAGGAAGGAAACGTGCCGAGCATCAGATGCGGTGTTTTAGGACACCACATAATCTGACTAGGTTATTTGTGGGTGGAAATAAGTTCTGTTGAGGCTCTTGTTTTATTAGGTCAAAGCAAGCACAGTATTTTATGAATTGGGCAGTACCTAGATGCCAGATTCCCCTTGAAAATTTTTTTTTTTCTCTTCAATTCTGCACTGAGAAGCTATACAGTTTAGGACTCTGTAGCACAGCACTAAGCACTCTTGCAGTTTCTTTCTTTTTCCTTCTCTTTTCTGTGTCAGACACAGGGTGGTAACTGTAGCAAATGAAAGGAAGTCAGGCACCCTGTTTGTTAAACTCTGTTACTTTCTCCTGTCTTTATTTGGCCAGCAAGTGACAGGTGGCGTGGGGGGAAGCTCCAGCAAGGCCAAGAAATACACTATTCATTAAAAATCAGGTTACAAGAAGTGTACATGATGGATGAGTAAGAGTCAGCTGCTCCCCTGAGAAAAAAAAAAAAAAAAAAAAGTAGTGTAAGGTTTTTACTGCCTGTATATCAGAGGCAAAATTCCCACTGCGTTCAAGAAAAGTGTAGGTGAAGCACTTAGGGACATGGTGTACAGGGTTGGTGTTGAAGGGCTTATGTTCGGACTCATTGATCTTGAAGGTTTTTTCCAGCCATAATGATTTCATGATTCATTACGAATTTTGAAGGTACAGTTCTGTCTTTCAGCATTGTTGCATCATAACTGCATCCAGACTTGCCACTATTTTGACTTGCTTTAATGGTCTTGTACTTCTTGACTACAGTTACTCTTCCAAAACTTCCATTAACAGCATTAGCACCTTGTTGTCCTGATACAAGAGTGAGAAATGGCGGGGAACTATTCCAAATACTTTTTGATTTAAGCAGAGACCCATCTCTCTATACATTAGTTCAGTGCTTGAATTTCGCATAATCACAATCATATTTCATGCAGGTAAAAAAAAAAAAAAGCGACTACAACATTTAACAAAAAAGGTTTATTACCAAAATACAATATTAAAGTCAATACGTGACAAACTCCTGTAAAGCAAAATAAATTATTCTAACATTGTACAGTATTTCAGAAGGTAGTTAAAGTAGTACTACAGACTTTGCTTCATAGTTCCAAACAGACAGTCTTCTACCAGGAACACAATCCTAGAGAGCTTAAGGCATGCAGCTTAATGTGCTGGATAATTTTTATAAAATGAAATCATCCTATTTAATAAGATACAGTATCAGAATTAACTGCAGTCTTTACATGTCAGTTTTCTAAGTTTTCTATACTTTGGCTATAAAAGCAGTGCCATAGTGTTACAATATGTTTTCTTAAAAAAATACATGTACCCATGTCCATGAATATCAAATGCAAATGTAAATTTATATTAAATATATCTTAACAAATGTTACTTTGAGCACCAACTGTACATTTTTAAAATGATTAAATAAGTGCTTCTGAAAGAGGAAAATACAGTAACTCTGACTGAAAACCACTTTACTTTTCCAGGCCAAGTGTAAGTCGGAAAGATGAATTACCCACCTATTTATCAGTATAGTCTAGAATGAATGAAGTCTTCTCCTTAGTAGAAGTATAGGCATTTAAAACCAAAGCTGTGTGTTACAGTTCATGTGCCAAATAAATCTATTTAAAGCAAACAGCAAGTGAATTCCTGATCAATCAATAGTTTCGTGACAAAAGATCCTAAAATATTTTAAAACCTTAAAGAAAGAGGAAGACTGCAGTGTTGGTAACCTGGAAATGTGCTTGAAAAGCCCTTACATAACATGCAACCAAGCCAACCACACACTTTCTAAAAGCTGATATCCTGAGGAATAATTTGCTTTCAAAAACAGCCTATGGAGAACTTCTGATAAAATCCATGGGATTTTTTTTTAATGGGTAACTAACAGCAAGCAATGTGGAGACAGTAAGTTAACCTCCGTACAGATACGGAAGAGTATTCGTTGGCATTTGTTAAGGCTCGTAAGACTTTTCAGAGGGAACCGACTTTCGATTGCACTGTAGTAACACATGCTCAAACTGCAAAAAGCAACAAAGAGAAGCTGTAAATAGATGCATCCTCCTCAGTCATCCCAGTGCAGTGACTCTTGGTGTGTTACACTTAACACTGCAGGTGTGGCCTACACACACCAAAACTGTTAATTTTGAGCCAAAGTTGCTTGCCTTTTAAGTCTTGGTTCACTGCCATCTTTCTCTCAGCTTATGAGCGCAAGTTTTCCACCTATTTTTTCCATTAGCACAGCAACTCTAAGATACACTATCCTTTTACTGAAAAATAAGATTGTGACAAAATATTGTTTCTATGAACACAGATAGGTAGCTCAACATAACTATGGATCTCTTTGGACACTTGAAATTTGCAGTACATGGGATCTCAGAACCACCAACACTAGATGGATTCCAAATAATTTGCTGCTTTGATATGAATTGAGTTGGAAATGAAATGTGTCAATAGGACAAGAACAATACACCATTAGAAGTTACCTCAATTTCAACTAATGAAAATGAATCATATTTTTGTAATGTAAAATCCATCTGTATGACCATTTAACAAAAAAGCTTTTGACTGATAATTATGTGTAATTACTTTTTATCTGTGTCAAGTACCTCAAATATCTGACAAAAGATCCAGGCCAATTTTGAAGTAAAGTTTCTGTAAATTGATTTATAAGAATGCTTAACCCAAAAGAACAAGTTGAAGATGCCTAAGGAAATTGCTTAAAAAAATCACCAAATGTTTTTGGAGTCTTAATGTCTTTTACACTGGCCTTTAGATTTTGTGCTGCTTCGTAAAGCTGTAATAAGATTTTTTTTGTTTGCCCCTTTTAGTCGGCAACAGCACAATAGACTGTATACTACATATGCCACCTTCTTAGATTTATAGCTGTAGCTTATCTCTGCTAGCAGAAATATATAAATAGGAAATAAACATAAAATACTTTTTTTTTTTTCCTAAGAGCAAGTCAGTTTTCAAGCAATGAGCAACTAAAACACAGCTAACTGCATTACCATGTTGAGAACTAGGTGTGCCTCTGTGCAACTGCCATTCTTTAAAAGCAGAAATAAATGCCCAGGCTAGAAAGTTTTAATCAAGCTGCTAAAGGGCTTCTTCAGAAGTGCTACTACTTCACTTGGTAGGAAGCATGTATTTCAAACAATTTAAGTAGCTGACTCTATAAATAATCGCAAAAAAGTTGCCAGGTAATTAGCCTGCATAATAATATTCCCAGCTGATACAAAGATACCTTCTACTGCAATCGCTGAAACTCTAAGGAAGATCAGCGTTGTAGTCTTTGAAGCTAAAGCCTTTAAAAGGGAGAGATTTCTATGTGTTTCTTAGAAAACAAAGTAAGCCCTAATTCCCTTTATGAATCCATACTCTATGCACTACTAAAATTTATTCTACAACTGATTGGATCATGTTTTCACTTAAAATAGTTTCCTGTATTTTATGTTTTGAAGTAGCACATTCTATAGGAAGATTACTGTATCTTTCTGTGATTTTTTTTCCTCTATAGATATAGCACAGCCAGACAAATAGGAATTTTGGACAGTGAGAGGGATTTTTGAAGCATGTAGGCACTTCTCAAAATTCCACTTTGTGCTCGTGCACATCTTTAGGAATCTATGTAGCTTTAAAAATCTCTTCTTGGCAATTACAATCAGTTAACACCATATTAAAAATGCTCACTCATGTGTACTGCAAAGTAATTACCCCAAGTTAAAACTACATATGATCTGCTTAGTTTTTTTAGTTTGTTTTGAAATAAGATTTGCTAAGTGTGTTAAGAAAAACATGAATAAACAGCAGAACATTATTATGAAGGATCCTTTACACACTGAGACTGTAGCTATCAAAAGATGTCCTATTTCGTGAGGATCTAATCAGCCAAATGATCAGCAAAAAGCTTCTAGGCTACGCAGCTTCTGCTGCTGTGAAACAACATAGAAGATACTAATCTTTTTCAGAGAGAGGACTTGGAGTTTGTAAGGCCTTAAAAATATGACGGGGAGAATGAAATGCCTCTATGCAGCTGCAAGTACACATGTGAGCCCTTAGCCATCTCCCCACCTTCCAAAAGCTGGACAATGTGTACCATTCTACTGTAAAATGTCCATCTATCTCTTGCCAATTAAGAAAAAGTGTGTAAAAAAATTCTTTGTCCAAAAACTTGCAAAACAACCAAAAAAGGAGGAAGATAAAAAGTTTTAAAATTGATAAAAAGCTTTTTATGCCTTTGGATTCTGACTTAGTGTACCAATGCGTTATTATGGAGTACTACCTGACAATTAGGAGGGGAAAAAAAAAGAAAAAAAGTACACACTCTTGGCACCATTCAGAGAAATAACAGGTTAAAGGATTGTTCTACTGCCCACACCTGAACTTCTTTCTTAAATGATTCATCCATCCCTGGCTAAGCTAATGTTTTCCTAATGAAATAAGGAAGTGGGCTCAGAAATCAGCAACTTTCGCTTGCATTTCTTCTCTTTAGCAAGTTTCTCAGGCAAAATTAGTAAAGATTGGTGTTATCCACTCAAGAAAATCCTGCTTTTAACTTAGTCCTTCATCTAGTTTGTGCTCTGAGTTGCGTTGTGGTCCTTATTTAGAATGATGTTTATGATTTCACCCTCGTGTTCTTTCATATGATCCAACAGATTTTCTTTGTTGGTGGACTCAAAGCCACAAATACAGCAGCAGAACAGAAGAACACAGTATTCTGTGCCAAGCTGGGGCAGAGCAGAGTTCTTTTCTAAGCTGCATGAGGTATTCATCAAGGTAGGTTTTTCATTTTCATCAGAACCTGAAATTTCATTAGTAGTTTGGTTAATAGACTCTGCAAAAGATATCAGGTTGTCTGAAGTTGCTAGAATAGGTACTCTACTTTCATCAGTGCCTTCTAATAAGGTTTTTTCAGGAAGCTGTCCTTGAAACCTAAAGTATTAAGAGGAAAAGAAAAGAGCAATTTCAAAACATGCTTTTTTTTTTTTGCTTCTTGATAGAAACTTTTCTTTGAATCTGAGTCTTTCAAAATTCTAGAGGCTTGAAAGTAAAGCTGACATACCTGCTGCTTTGTGAAATTGCATCATTAATAGCCTTGTTCACTTGTTCATAATTATAATTTTGGTCACTTGCATGTTTCCACATGTGGGACTTCAGGGAGGGAGGATGACTACATACATATCCACAAAGAGAACATCTAGGGGAAAAAAGTAGAGAAGGAAAAACAGAAGAAATTAACATACATCAATATAGAAATGAAATTTTACCATTTTTGAAATGCACTAGTTCTTCCAAAAGGATCAGAAAACAGCAAGATGCATTTTTGCTTGGAAAAATTCTGCTTACTCATTTCAGGACAATAACATGACAGGAGTTGTCTCATACTTCTATAACAGAACATGTCAATCCCCCCTCTCCCTGTTTCTGTCAGGTTTCTACCAAGTCATGTTAGTCTGCAAAGATAAATTAGTCACCTCAGCTTGAAACAGATAGTGCATGATATCACTCCAGAGCTCAGCAGTATTTGTGGTAAAGATGAGGTGCTCTTCCTGCTTTGCAAGTCTTCAGTTTTTCCAATTGCATCGGGTTTGACCAGGAGCACTTTATTTTTTCTCTCCTCTTAGAAATTGAAGGTGACCTAGTTCTAATGAATTACAGCTATGAATCTATCTCAGTCTATCTCCTTCCTCAAAAAGAGCAAAATGGTTTTCTGTTCAAGTAATGTTGTCTCCTGATATATTACATTATAGTTAATCTGTTTAAAAAAACTACTAGTTGCTTTAGTAGGTCATTAATTAAGTCCTTACAAGACTTAATTTACTTCTTACAGTTGTTTTAGAAGAAGAAGACTTTACTTCTTACAGCTGTTGTTTTTTAAAGGAAAATTGCTTCAGAACTGGGACTCAGAAACTATATAAAGCAGTGTTAGGAACTAGAATTCAGTAAAGTTTCACCGCTGCTCCTATTGACAACAGGATCTATGACTTAAATGCCTGGCAAATAATCTCATAAAAGAAACTATCTCTATTTGGCACAAGTTTGTGGAGAGCTGCAAAGTCTCATACGTTACGTGGCTGCATGGTGTGTTACCTTGCTTATGCAGCAAGATAATCCTATTCTGCTGGTGAACAGTAGGTCCTTTTAGCTCATTTGTCTCTATTGCTCAATTGGGAATGCACTATTCTATTTTTAACTGCTCCTAACTTGAGGCCTCCTCCTAACTATAAGCCTCCTTCTTATAAAGAAAATGGGTGTTTTCAAATATAAAAGAGTTTACCCTCATGCTGAAAGTTTTATTATGTCTAATAAGGCTGCTACAAAATAATGCCATTGTTTTAAGTAAAAAATAAAAATACCTTGTAATTCATTTTTTAAATAAAATTAGGCCAGAATATTTTTTTCTGCATAACACAGAAGTCATTAAACAATGCTAATTTGATTCTATATGCGCATGTATTCCAATAGACTTTTGGTATATGTTTATGATGGTATATAATTTGTCTACATTGCTAACACAGCTTGGTCTGTGGGTTGATAAAATATGAAGAAAGCTCCAATTCACTGTTTGTTTTGATCCACCTTTAATTAAACACTTATTTTCCAAAGTACATAAATTTACTCAGCTAATTTACTAATTGTATTTACTTAACTGAGGACAATATGATGAGCTTAATGCTTTTGACTACTTCAGGCTGGCATGCATTTCAAATCAAACATGCAGAAACTCAGCAACTTTGATGCACTTTATGATCATTATCCATAATACAATGTATATTAAACATAATTATCTTGAGGCAATACATAAATTAATATGAGATGGCAGAAATGGAAGCAATCTGTAAAGTTTTTCTTTAAGTAGTGTTTCAAAAACAAGTAACAATTGAAAACGATGGAATTAGGAGAATACTTTTTCTTACCTGAAGCCTGAATTTGCTGCACAGTTACAGTATATGCAAGACATTCTTGGGGAAATTATTTTTCCATTGAGTTTTGTATTTTGGTAGTCGATTCCTTTCATTTCTATAGCATGATTTGCCCTACTGATTGACCTATGCTGAATTATTAAACTCTACTGTTCAAGTGTATCCCAAATTGGTCTACTGAGGAAATAATTATCTCACAGCTTTTGATAGAGTATTTCCTCAGGGACCCAGAGGCCAAAGTGTGGAAGTTTGCAGTAATCTTGGGTAATACTAAGAATACTTAGTGATAGTTTATAAAGTATGACAGCAGAGCATACAGAACTTAGTACTGCTTTCTAGTACATGTTGGGCGAAAATGCATTGTAAGGATTTTGTTTGAAGTTACAGAAACAGATCTTCTTGAGAGTAAACCTTGTATTTTAACGTACTTTATTTTGATTATTCCTGTTCCCTTTAAAATGCTGTCCTAAGAAATGTTGAAATGTTCAAATCTTTCTCATTTTTTTCTTTACCTTTTTACTTTTTGTTAAAAGTCAGCAGTAAACAATAACCCATTTTTATGCCAACTTTTCCTGATATGTATTTATATAACATACCAACATATCAATGGATAGACAATTACTTAAAAATACTGACTCCACATACTAATATCTTAACTAGGGCATTGCGATGCAAATCTGGATTCTAACTAGTAAGTATGCAGAAAGGCTGTGCCTTGACTAGAATATTAAATGAAGCCAGAGGACATTCCTGGGCACTGGAATTCAACAATCTGTGATATTATATTGTTAGAGGTGCCCCAGCATGGTTTTGGCACATGCATTTCCCCGAGCAATTGCAGGCATGCTTTGTAATTAACATGATCCTGAACCACTTGCAATAGGCAGTTTAGATGCAGCCACCCCAATTTTGAAAAGAAAGAGTTGAATACTGTATCAGAGGGAGGTCACAGACATACTCGATTTACTAGCCTAAATATCATCTAGCTATATCAAATCAATCTCTATCTCATCAAAATGAAAAAAAGTTGAACAAAGAATGAATCTAGGAGGGAAAAGAACCAAATCTCAATTCTGCTTCATTTCATAACAAAAAATCACTACGATCAGAGCTTTTGGCTCACTTAGCACTCTTACATACTTGTACTGTTCCATTAGCTGCACTGCCTGATGCTCCTGGGGGTGGCGCCTCATATGGCATTTCAAGCTATTCATATTTGTGGTGGCAAAGTCGCACACTCGACATCTAAAGAGACAAAAATAGGTAAACTAATCTGAGAAGTAACTGCTTAAACTATTCCATAAATAAAAATCTAGGAGAATAAAAAGGTATCTGGAAAGACTACAGTGAAAACTAACATCATGTATAGATTTCCAAATGGTAACATTAACTTTCAATTTTTGCACCATGGGGAATTTTTGTACCCCAAAAAAATCTCCTCCACTTTTCAGCATTAATCACTAGGCATATGGAGCTGGTTCCTTCCTGAAATCCATCTTGAGGTACCTGCACTGACGCTGGAAAACATCACTAAGTAAAAGAGGGATCTGGGTGCTCTGGAAGCAGCCATGATACAAATTGCTTTGCTGTTATCCAGAAGCAGAAGGTGATCGTAAGAGCTTTAGGGGACATGCTGCATTTTAAAGTGCATCTTATTGTTCAAGAACACAAGCTCTACTTAGTGCAACAGTTAAATTTCTAGCATCCTTTGTCACATAATAAAAAGACATTTACAGGTAAAAATATAGCAGCATTATAGTGAGGTGCCATCTGATTGTATGAAAGGCTTGAGGAACACATGTTTCAGAATAAGAAACACCAGAAATACTGGATCTTTGGTTTTTAGGCTGTGGCTTGAATGTTCTACCAATTCTATAGATAGGCATAAGGAAGGAGTCCATCTAAAGTTTGTAAGAAAAGCAAGCCAGATCAGTAGGCTTAAATTTATTATGCACTGATCTGTATTTCCAACTGAAAATTTTCACGTGTTTCTAAATCAAATTGTATTAATATTTAGTATGAATATAAAATTTTAATAATAGTAAAATACTAATATATGCATCACTATATAGACCAAAATCAAAATACAGCATTTCTTGTGAGTCTTTTTAGTCAAAAGGGAAAGTCACCTTTTGAGTGCAAGTTTTCAAGGTCTAAAGATGAATTTCCAGAGTTCGTAGAAAAAGGGCAATTATATTTGCTCAAAAAAAAGTTTTACCAACTCAGTTCTGGTTTCTAGCCACTAGAGAGGGACAGAGATCCACCCTCAATAAGAACAGATTGAATTTGAAGGAAGTTTGGAGAGGGAAAAAAGTAGAAAAATGCATCATTTATTTTTCTCCTCTGAGGACCTATACAGTCCTCAATTGCAACCAATTTTAGATACCATAATTTATATAAATCTGTACAATGTCTTTGAAGGAAAGTTTATAAAATCTGATCCTAAAGGAGTTTGTTAATATTGATAAAGATACGGGGAATGAGGTAAGACAAAGAGCCAAATTTTGCTCTATGGATATTCCTCGACTCCTCTTCCTTCTCCTAAGGAGTGTGAACAAGAGTTCACTCTCCTCAAGAGAGAAGAGCTGCTTGCCCTGCTCTTTAAAACCAAGTGTTAGAACAAGTTGTATGATAACAGACATCTTGCAATAAAGCAAATCCAATACAAACTTTGTGTGCAAAGGGTTTGCCAAATATGTTGTTACCTTCTAAAGACCATTATTACAATGCAATTATATTCCCTTGTACAACTGGATGCTTCAAACCAAAAACCAGCCCTGGACTGCTATAGCTAAAGATGCATCCTGGAAAAGTTGGCAAATCTTAATTAAACAGTTTGAGTTGATTAGCATGTATGGCCCCTTCCATTTTGCAGTGCCTTGCAGTAAAATTCTGAAACTGGCACTCTTTAACATTATCTTCAAAATTGCACAAGCAAGGAAGTAACGGTGCAGACCAAGGGCCTAGCGTTACTCAGTAATAACTGGGACACTCACCTATATGGCTTATCAGAGTTATGAATTCGTCTGTGATTTCGTACACCAACGTAAGTTGTGCTTGTGTAGTCACAAACATCACATCTGTACAGTTTTTGAACTGAGGCCTTATTTCCTGTATGAAACAAGATGCATAACTTTAGTGAGATACATTCAGCATTTAAGAAGTTCTCAGGTGATAATTTCAGCATGCAGTTGAATTTTAAAACATGAGTTAAGATTTTAAAATGATACTTCAATATGTGGAGCAAAGTGGCAATGGATATGGAGATAATAAGTGTTCATTTGCCATTTACTGGAATTACTAAAATTTTAGGAAAGTGCATTCTCTTTCACCATCCACTTGCTTCCCTTCTTGGGTTACTGTGGTCAGTATAAGGTACTGAATGATGACATTAGGACTTTGACTGCTTTGCAGGATCAAATTAAAGGAAAGGAGGGTGAGAGAAGACATGTCTGAGGGTAGGCAAGTTTTTAACTAGCAAACATAAAAAAGAAAAACAAAAGGTTTCCTGAAACCCTAAATCTTCTTTATCGTCCAGATAAACTAACCACTAACTAAGGTGGTTACGTTCAGAAGGATCAGACATGATCCAAAAACCAGGTACTGACCAGAAATAATTTGGAACTTCTCCAAATTGCTAAAAAGTAATTGCAGCAGAAATCATTTTTTTCTTTACGGAATGAAAGAAACTTTTGAAAAATTAATGGTTACAGAGACAAAGGCTAATGACTAATTTAACACAGAAAAATGTGTGCCCGCAAGAGCACAGTTTGAGTATTTTGGGATGGTCTTACTCTTCCCTCAATGAGTAAGGAAACTGGGTTAGAAATATTAACATTTAGAAGGAGAGATGGTATTTTTAATGCAGATGGTTTTTCTCCTCTAGTCTATCATACAGCCTTTATGCACTTCCAAAAAAGGGAATAGCAGGAAGAAGGACAAGAAAATTGGGGCTGCTTAAATCAGCACTATTGCCACAAGAAACATCAAACTGAGACCTTAGGCATTTCTTTCTGTATCTGCGTTCTACCTCTCACTAGCCTAAAGCATTAAAATTCTACTTTTTCTCTTCTACATGTAAAGAAGTTGTTTAAGTCCATGCTACTTTTGCACCAAATTCTTATTAGCTGGCTCAAAGGTCAAGCTATGGCTCTCAGTAACATATGTGGACTGATGAGAAATACCTGCTAGAGTTCCTGCAAAATTTCTCATGTGAGAAAAGATTATTGCTAAAGTACAGGGAAAAAAAATACAATTTAACAAATTATATGTGGGAGACAAGGTAAACCTCAAATCTTTTCATTATCATTATAAAAATGAAGTATGTTCATGGTAGAATTCTGTTTTAAGGAGATACTTTGAAGTTTACCTTTTCACTTCCATCTTATTTCACTAAGGAGCACTGAAATATGTCAAAACATTGTAAATATGTTATTTTGAGGGATACAGTGATTTAAATGGTAAGCTTACGGTATGTTTTAACTCTAAAATTAAACACTCTTGTTTCAAGATGCAAAGTAATTAGTTAGTGCTAGAGCTCTAGGCTGATATAACCATGGTTTTATTCTGAAGAATATATCATGTTTATTTATATTATCATATAAAACAAAATGATAATCTGAATACAAAGAAAGTCTAAAAAAACCCTGCATGTATAAAGAATACAGAAAAATATTTTACATTTTGTGAAGACTTAGGAAATTGCTCACTGTTCTGGCATCTTTATAAAACATAATAATACAGAAATAAAATATAATAATTGCACTCTTTGCAATTCAGCCTTAAAAGTTTTAAACTATATCTAAATTTTTCCCACTATGTGCTGAGAGAGCTTTTTAAAATATATTACTGTTCAAAGAAAATCTCTCTGATGACAAATTATCAAAGCAGTCTTAAGTATGTACTTACAGACTTAAGAATTTATATTTCCACAATTATGCTTTTATGAATACACATTTATGCAGAAGACCTCAGATGAATACAAAGACACTTACTGGGCTGCAGATCTACAGTAGAGCAGGGTGGTGTCAAAGTTGGACTATTGCATGTTCTACTTGAATCGTTCTTTCATCTTAAATTCTGCAGCTTTAGAATAAACTGTTCAAATATATTTTTCTGGCAGGAATGTGATATTTTATTGGGTAGGCAATTGAAAATATCTAAGGAGATTCTAAGGGCATTATGAAAACATATCAAAAGGGCATCATTGAAACAATCCATAGTCACAAGTGGCCAACCACCTAGCAGCACACACTGTGCAGCAATTATTTATTCAAATTGCTACTTCATATTTATTCTTTCAGCAAAATGTATATAAGTTATCCTATATTCTATCTTCTCTGGCTGTAGCGAAACAGCAGTTGTTCTCCCCCCATGCTCCCCAAAAGACTTATTTCCTCTGGTCGTGGGGGCTTTTTAGGTTTCTGGATTTATGATACCAAGTCTCTTAAAAGCAAACACAGAAATGAGAGATCTTTATTCCAGCAGCAGTAACAGGTGCTCCTATAATGCTGCTTATTACGCTATTCCTTCATTATTAGACATTTACAATCTGATCATATTCAGTGTCATAATGTTCCCTTTTAATTTATGGTACAACCATGATGAATAAAGAGACTTTTAGGACTAACTATTTCATAAACAAGAAATGAAACTGTTCCAGCTCAGGCATCTTTCACATAAACAGATGCTATGCCATAAACTTCTTTGTTTTGCGTCGCTTTATAGGGATGACATCTGTTTGACAAGAGATTGCTGTACTGCAGTGGTGTTGCAATTTGATTATAAATTGGTTCTAAAATAATTAAAGCATTCTAAAGTATAAGTTAATAAAAGTTTAAAAGGAGAACTATTTTCATTCAAGCCATATTACTAAACTTGATGTGGAATAACAATTCAATTAAGGTGCATGGCTGTAACATTTTTATAAGATAATAATGAATAAAATTATTCTAAAAAAATCACTTTAGGAATTAAATCAAAATCAGGCAGATTTTGTGAGCAGGGGTTCCTCTTTCGTGAAAGTCACAAGATCAGGACATAAACTAAAACTACTGTTTTAAAAAGTAGGATTTGCAAAAGCAGCTAGCCACCTTTTTAAGTCACCTTAATGAGATCTAAGTGCAGAGGTACAGTTTTTTGAAAGTCTGACATATTTCAAGTGTCTTATGGTACATATTCCTTTATGAGGAATTTATTATTTCTTTTATTATTTCCTTTAAGTCATCTTACTGCAATCTAAGTACTACCCTACAGTATGCATTTTGCAAACAAGAGATCTTTGGACAGAAAAGAGCTGTGTGCATAAAATGAGAAATATTTCAGCCTATAGTTGTTTAGAGGTGCTCTAAATTAAAAAGTACTAATAATTACAACGTTCCCTTTAGAATAAAAGCACTGTAAATAATTTCAGGAATTTTTAGGTCAAGTTGCAATAATAAATAGTGTGGTTCCAAGACAGTCGCAGCATTTTAAGACCACATTTTCTCTAATCTTCTAAATTTGGCTTAACACATCAGGCTTTAAAAAGATACCTAAATATACTTAAATTACACTTAAATATTTAAATTATAAGCAAATACAATAATTTAGAAAATGCATATCTACTAATATCTTGGTAACTATTACAGAAACAGGTTGCATTTTTAGAACCCCTTACATTTGCCTAAGTCTAAAATGAATGACTCATTTTAAACTTTACCAAAATAGCTATTCCTAAATATGGAATGCAAAATTACATTATTTGTATATAGTGTATAGTGTACAGTGTATAGTGTATATAGTGACAGCAAACTATGTTTCTACAGTGAGTTTAAAACAAACAAACAAACAAATAGGGTTTTCTGTTATTTATACGAGACAATTCAGAAAAACATTGTAGTTGGTAAATGGAAGGGAAAAAATGTTTTTCTTCAAAAAGAGAAAAAAAGGTAATATTCCATAACACTTATTATCTGCAGGTATTTAAAATATTATTTTTCAAACCGAAGAAATCCAAGATATCATCAGGGAAAAAATGTATTCCAACAAATGCCAGTAAGACCTCTCAAAAGTGAGAATTATAGGAAGCTTTGCATGCTGAAAAGGTGGCAAACTGAAAAGATGGTTCTGAACTGAACAGGCATGAAAACATTCAGCTGAGAGGAGATCTTAAAAATAGTAAGACTATAAATACAGTGAAGTAATTTTTAAGTAAATTGTAATTTTAAATTAAAATATATGCAGTACCTTCTCTTTCATCTACTTCATTGGAAACTATTAGTTTGTTAGATGTGGCTGTTGAAAAGATATCTGGAAGACTGTGTTGCTCTCTCTCATGATTTCGCAGTTGACTCTGAAAAAACAATTCCTTTAAATATATAGTGCAAACAGAAATCATTTCAGATACTGCAGTAATTTGCAAAATTATTACTCAAGTTTTCATGACAACTATGATAAGACATACATTAGCCACGTACAGGTTATTCCTCAATTAATTTTACTACAAACAAAATGGATTATACTTTAATGTAACAAAGGACTGGTAAGAGTGATTAAGAAGCAATATGATTTGTATTAAAAAAAAATATTGTTCACCAAAAAAGTGACACTATTCATTATATACTTTTTTTTTCCAAACTAGGATTTAACAATAGGACAAATGGGAAAATTGGCACTATACTGTTGCCTATGACAGTTCCAGCTGCAAGACCTGATACTGATGCTGTATACTGTATTTTGCCAAGTGAAATGAGCATCCTTGAGCATACAGGATGCAGTTGCAGGCACTGATGTTAAATATGGAGACTAAAGCTGAGAGCACTGTATTATTGTGCTCTTGTATGTAATTTTTCAGATCCAAGTTCTGCAGAATGGTTAACCCATCAAAGCAACTGACAAAGAAATAAAAGAACTTCTATTTCAAAGATTCTCATACATTGTCCCCAAATTCTACTCCTACTCTTGCACATACAATGAGTGGGCATATTTCAGCTTTCTGTTAAAGTTACAAATTTTAAGTTATCTAATGCTTCCATTTCTTCATTTATTTACTGTGGGTTGGTACAGGATACTAACAGGTCTACAGGATGGTTCTCAAGAGAAATAATTTCTAGGAGGAAGCAAGCTTTTTTCAGTGGGTAAGTCAGAATAATTATGGCAGAATATTATATTTGGAAAGTGCTGCAGGCAATAGTCTCCAACTGTAATGACTCTGAAGATAGGATGTCAGATTGAATTTAGTTAGAAAGAGGGATCACCAGTTGTTTAAAAAAAAAAGGTATCAAATGGGTTATTTAGCTATTATAAACAAATATAGGAAATAACATTACCTTATAATGAAAGGATTCTTCACATTGCTTGCATTGATACATTCTTGTTTTGCAGTGGTTGATCATGTGGCTCTCTAGATCCTTGCTGTTGTCAGCAATGTGTTCACAGATAGGACACTGATATGGTTGCCTCTGACGATGGACTCTCAGGTGTTGTTTTATGTAGCCCTTATTACCGCTGCTGTAGTGGCAGAGGCGGCAGCGGTAGGGGCGGTCCGCGTTTGGGATGTATTCCACTAGGTTACTTCCTGCAATATTTGCATCATTTGCATCTTGGCATTGTGCGTTGTCTTGCAGTTCTTTCAAAATGTCATCATCAGAAGCATTCTGATCTGTCCTCTCTTTCAGTTTTTCAATGACAGTGAGCAGTGACATGCTAATGCCCATTTTAATTGGTGCTTCTGATAACTCTGATCTTTCTTTATCTATCTCCACTATTGCACAGCCACTTTGGTTTAAGCTACTGAACTCTTCCGCAGGATTCTCAAGTGCAGACACCACTTTAGAATGAGCTGTGAATGGACCATCAGCAGCTCTCTGCCCTGTGTCTGCACCCACACAGTCTTCCCCTGTGAAAGTCCTAAAGCTGGACTTGGTTAGTTCTGCAGCTCTGATAGGCATTGTTACAAGGGCTTCTGCAGCTAGGGAGTGCAGCCGTAAAGACTCTGAATTCGTCCTTCTTCGTACAGGAGGAGCGTTTTCGTCAGTTGTTAGGTTTTTATTAGAGCTTAATTCATTATCTTTCTTCTCAGTATTATTCCATCCTATTATCACCTCCTGAATTTCATCTGAACGATAAACTTGAGGTCCTTCACAGATAACATGGGATCCCTCCGAGATTAATTGTTTTTCTGTTTCAATGTCAGTGTTCATCACAAAAGGCTTTTGTAAGACACTTTCTTCAGCACCTGGCAAACGCTCTACTATTACGTTAACATGACCCTTTTTATTTGGACTACAATTAATGATCTTCTGTGCTGATGAAAGCAGGCTATCAGCTATCAAATTATCCTGTTCTGTATCTGATACAGTCTCCTCTAAAACTTCTGTAGCAGGAGACTGGGCTATTGACTGATTTAACATCTCTTCCTCTTTCACACTTGCTCCTGGTGATTTACATGACATTTGCTCAGAACTGCAAATCTGAAGTTGAAGAGAATGTTCACTCTGAATATCTAGCTCATTGTTTTCCAGCGCAAGTACAACTGCATCCACACTGTGAGGTGTATGAGTTACAACAGTCTCAGACAAATTCGCAGTTTCATTTTCTTCTTCAAAGATAGGATAGGAACAATCAACTTCGCCGGCATGTTTCCAAGCATGTGTTTTCAACATTCTTTGCTGACCACAGGTGTATCGACAAATTAAACAGCGGTATATGCCATACTGCTCGTAAGTGTACCATTTCCTCCTACCCATCTCAGCCACCCGAGTGGACCGAGTTGTATCTTTGCATTCCAGATTTCCTGTCTGCTCAGTCCCTGATTTGACACTTCCTTCCACCGGCCCTTGCAAAAACGAACTCGAGACATTTACACATTGCTGTGCCTTTGTCTGCATGTTAGTTTTACTGTCACTCTCGTGGTAATTTTGGAAGTGGGATTCAAGCTCCTCTTGATTTTTGGAAGCAAAATGACATTCCGAGCACATTAATATCACTTCATTTTTCTGCCCGTGTTGTTTTATGTGTTCTTGTAGCGTTAAGAGAGACGGTGATAGAAACTTACATAGACTACACTGGTAGCACGTCACCTTTTTTTTGCTTTGTGGAAGACAATCTGTCACGTAATAATCTGCTTGCAACTCCTCCGTCTTTTTAGTACCAATAACAGATAGCTCAATTGTTTTAGCTGGGATTTCACAAAGATCTTCTGTGTCAAAAGACTGAAAAGAAGCATTAGGATGGGAACGCTTTTTCCCTATTAAAAGGCATCTCTGTGACTTCTCACTTTCAACTATCTTGCTTAGCTTCTGAATAACGTGGATTAGTGGATCAGTTTTACATTTCCTCTCATCTTCACTGTTTTGCAGTGTTGGACCAATCACTGTTTCAGAAATCAGTACAGCTTCCTGTTCTCCAATATTTGGCATCAATACTGCAACACTGCTTCCTTCTTCCATAGTATCTAGGAGAAAAGGTTTAATAAAACATTAAAATATATACATATACACATACACAAATTACTGGACAGCACAAATGATATTCAATAGACCTGCACCGAATCAGGACACTCCGTAACTGCCTATCTCCAAGCTGTGTAATGACAAGATGACTAGTTTTAAAGTATAAGCTAATTAGAGTTGTTGCAGATTACTGTCTATTTCTTTAACAGGACCATACATTTGAACGTTAGATCCTTACACATGCCAATCAATAGTATCTGGCATATTTATGTTCAAAAGCCATAATATGATATGAAAAATGTATTCCTAGCATGCTTATTCTGACGTATTGATGTCTGATGTGAATATCAATCTGTAACAACATAATTTAAAAACACAGGCAAAATCCTTCCTAGAAAAGTTAGAGGGGAAAAAATCTAGCTTCCATTAGTCATTCTCTTAGGCCTCTATGAAAGACAATTCAAATGTCAAGTCATACATCTTAATTTAAATCTCACAGAAGACTTCTTGTAGCTATTCCTGCAAATCGTTAATTGCTGGGAAAAAAATCAGTTGCTATTTAAGTTCTGAAAAGTAGGTATTTTTTCTGTTTTGAGGGGAAAATAGTTCTGGGAGCTAAAGGCAATAACTATTTCCACTTGCACTTCCTTTAAACACATCTAACCATAAACCACAGGCAATAATGTGGTAGTGTTGGAGGTCAGATTAGAAGCCAATTCATATAAACATACATGAAAACATATTTTGTGATGTGGGCAAGGCTCAGGGAATGGGGAGTCAGATGGAAAGTCTTACAGTGGAATTTACTTCTGGAAATAACCTACCCGAGTTCCACAAAATATATAATTCAGAACATACAGGGATGCCAAATTTCCTTTTACCGGTAATCCTTGTGTATTTATCGTAAGCTTATTCAAGTTTTTTTTTTTTTTTTTTTTGCAAGAAAGATGTGCGTGCCAAACTAGAACTTAAGAGCCGTAAGCCTACTTTTTAAATGCATTTAGCATACAACTGTACTACTAAAAAAAAAAGGATGTTTTAATAATTCTGCCTAATAATAATACAATCCTGTCTATTATTATGTTATCTTTGACATATGAAGAGGAATTAAACCAGGCCTCAATCTGTCAATAAGCAATATATTGTTTTATCTCACAACAGCGGGTATGAACGTGCCCTTTTTTCAAAGGGCACAAACAGAGCACCAGGTTCATGTGGCGGCAGGAGCTCTCAGCTCACTCTGCCTGCCCTCCAGCCCACCCGGGCACTGGCTGCTCTGGTACCTGCCAGTTCCTTGGCCTCTCAGCATCCCTCATCCCCACGGACATATCGAAGGAATAACCGAAGCAGAGACAAGTGCCATAGGTAACTGTTGGTGGCACAGCATGGATGTGTTGTTTAGTCTAATTTTGTTTGAAACACATTAGAAAAGATAAAACAATGTTGCAGTAATATTTATTATAATGCTGGAAGATTTCATGTGATGACACAGGGGGGACACAAGGTACAGGGACTTGTACAGCCATTTATTTGCTGAGGCTACAGTTAAGAGTGTAAATGAAGCATCTCAACTCCATGTAGTCGCATTTACTGGAACTTAAATACAAACTGTAAGAAATTCCTTTATTGCATAGGAAGGCAGTACAAGTGTTACGGCTCTGCAACAAATTTAATCCTATTACTGAACACAATATACAATTGCTCTATTTTAGCCTAGCAAGCAAAGAGCCAGATTTTCCTCTAGTTATTTAATTATTACAGCCAATGAAGTTTGCCCAGCACATGCCCTTTCTTCATATTGTAAGGATTTTATTTAAAAAACCCAAAACATTAGTTTGAGAATACATGTAAATACAATTGTGTAGTAATAATTTTTCCTCATCTTTTGATGCTGAACGTCATCTTTACCCTGACATATTTTTCTGAACACATATAAAGATTTTTCTTTGACCCATCAGGAAAGGAAAGATATACAATAACCTGCTTATGTTTCAATATGAAACAATTATATTTCTACCAATAAAAATCTGGTTAGGACAAGATCTTTATATTTAAGTCTTGTGCAGTTGCCCCCTTCTATCTGGTACACATGACCTTTAAACCAAGTTAAAACTTATCAAAATTAAGTATGACTTCATGCCTTTTTTTCCATCCATGTGGTTTCAGGAGAACTTCAGAGTGTCAAATTTTAGCCTGGGCAAAATTTGCAGGATGAATATTTTGTGATGTTATTTTTTAGGATGGAGACTTGCTTATAGTTAAAAATAGTTCATAATACACACAAAAAGGTAGAAATTCAGCAAAAGAAAGCAACTGAGCAGAGTACTGTTTACCCTTTCTGGGCATTCATTGTACAAGTTTAGCATCCTTGAGACAACTTAGTGTTTTTTTCTTGTGATAATTCTAAAGTGTAAGTCATAATTTCCCTGCACAGAACTACCAAAATTGCCTTCGTTTGCCATTCAGGTTATTGATGCTGTGAATTATAAAGTTACAGTAACTTTGAGAAGAGCTCAGACTCACACTGAAGAGTATTCAGCCACTTCATTGAAATAATAGCTCCAAATATCAATGGAGGTTTTAAACAATTTTTAATACTAATTTCCCAGTTTCTCGCATTTGTTTATTTAATTCAAGCTTAACTCAAATTCAGTACTGTCTTACCAGCGGGAATCAATAAACCCAACCTGAGAGCTAACGCTAGGCTTAACCCCCAGTCATTCACACGTTGAGCACAGAAGCCGATGCCTTAATCCGCATTTGGTCCTGGGCTTCCTGCCGCGTTCGGCAGTGCGCTGAACGGCCCCCGCCGGTGGACGTGGCTGGGAGAACCCGCGGGGCGCAGCGCTGCAGGCTGTGCCCGCGGGGCGCACGGCTCTCTCCCGCGGCAGGTTCCTGGGGCGCCGGCACCGCGCAGCCGCCCGCCCCCTCCGCCGCCCCGCGCAGCGCAACGCCGCACATGGGCTGCGCGCCGGGCCCGCGCCTCCCTCACCACCTACCTGCCGCGGCCGCCGCTCCCCGCTGGCGCCGGCCCCGCCGCGCGGCCCCCTTGCGGGGTGATTCTCCTTTAAAAAAAAAAAAAAAAGAAAGAAAGAAAAAAACTCTTTTTCCCCCCCCCCCCCCTTTTTTTTTCTACCCTTCCTCTCCCTCTAACGCCTGGCCACCGCTTCAAGATGGCGACGATGGGGACTGGATCACGTGAGGCGCGGCGCGGGTCAGGTGACCGGCGGGCAGCGGGGGCCGCCTTCCCGCTGCCGCCTCCCGCGCGTTGCCACGGAGACGCCCGGGCCTGAGGCCTCCGCACCCCCCTCCCCCCCCCCAAAGTATGTGTGTGTGAAGCTGGGGGGACTTAATTGAAGTATTTTAACTTTAAGAACATGTATGGAGTCAGATACAGGCCGGAGCAGCACGCAGCACGGTGCTGGGCGGCTTGGCGCGCTTTCAGGCAGCCTCGGGAGCGGATTTGCAGAATGAAGAGTTGCAAAAAGGCCTTATTCTGGGCGCAGTTCCTACCTTCCCACAGGGATTTCCTGGTCGATGCCAATACTTGGGCATAACGGCTCGTGTCAGGAGCAACCGTGCTGAACAGGTGCCTTGGACTGATACTGCTGCGAAGCTCTACGTGAATGTGTAATTGCTTTAGGTTATCTGGCAGTTTGTTACTTTAATTTGACCTGACCTAAAATCCAGTGGCACCTATTTACTATGAATGGTTCTAAATAATCTAAATAATCGAATCTGTTTTTCCTCAGCTGCTAATATGCTTGGAGGGTGACCCTGCAGACATTTTTTTTTCTCCTTTTCTGCTTAAAAATTGTTTTTTTTTCCCTTCTTTTGGTAACAATCTCCTTTTTTAAAGAGATTGCTGTGGGAGAATGAAAGGATGCATCCATATTCTAAAAACCCACCTAAATGCATTTTGTCTTAAAAAAAAAAAAAAAAAAAAAAGGATACATAGTATTTGCAATGTAAAATATAATAATGATAATAGTGAAATGTTTTTTTCTGTCATACTAAATAGAATCACAGGATTGTGATTATTTTTCAGGGGCTGTGTTCCTTTAAAAGCTTAGTTTCCACTTTGGTGTATTTGTCATAGTTTAATTAACCAGTTATCTGAATTGAGTCACTCTTTGTGTAGATATAAAACATTCACCCTCCTTTATCCAGTCAAAGTGTGCTGAGATCTGATATAACATGTCTGAATTAAAGGTACCATGTAAATAATGAGAAACAGTGTCCGTATAGTCTGTTGTTATTCTTTGTTATAATTAAAGCTAGACGAAGTTAAAGATTTCATTCTGATTGTTAGTATGCTTGCACAACAGAAACAGATTTAGATTTTAGACCTTTACATTTATTTTGGAAGGCTTCTCAATTCACAAGGTTGTTTTTGTGTTTTTCATTTTCATTGCCTTCAAGTTGAAGGAGACATGAAACCAAATGAAATTTGGATAAGGCAACTATTCCTGAGAGGTAGAGATGAGACACTTGTATTGAGCATAATATATTCAAAATGTTGATACTATTGTAAAAGTTTATACAAAATTGCTTTGTAATTACTGTAAATATGTACAAAATGTCAGAAGCATGAGTTTTATGTTAAACATTATAAGCGCAATTTACAAGAGTAATGCATAGTCTAGAAACATCAAGTAAATTTAGAGCTACATCAGCAAAGATGTTATCTTGAAGTAAATACATACAAAGCATACACACTTCTTTGTACAAACTTTTTAAATAACAGCAACTATGCATAGGAACTTACCCGCTCCTTATGGTCTCAGTAACAAACTCTTTTGAGTCACAAGATGAATGATTATGCTTATCTTCATTAATGAGTTGAGCAGCAATGAGTTATATAGTTGTCAATAAAAAGTTAACTTTGACTTGTGACTTTTTACTTTATGTAGCCTACCTGTTCCAAAACCATTCCAAAAGCTGTATAATTTTCACTTTAATATAGTTGGGGTCAGATTCAGACACAAGTCAAATGTTGTCATATTTTACATCTGCATAGTGGAGGCCTTGCAGTCCAGATTTGTTAGAGAATTCTGATCATGCCTATGGTCGTGCCCAAGGTAAGTTTTCTACTCTGGGCAGTCCTGTACTAAAGGTAATAAAACAATATGTGTACAGCTGTATCTGCATGTCTACCTGTATGATAATTTTGTGTTACCAGTCTGCTATGAGGTTCACGTACAGACCGTGTCTTCTATTGGCATATTTTAGGAGAACTGTGGTGTAGGAGAATCTAGGCCACACTGTTTGAGCCCGGTCAAAAAATAAAGAAATAAAGTCCATGAAATACTGCTGGTTACCATATAAAACAGAAAATTTGGGGAGTTTCTTGATTAGAAAATAATATGGCTAGAGAATTTACATATGTTTACATAGGTGCATGTGCACTGGATACTTCAATTTCTCAGGCTGACATCTTGATGATATTGTAGAACAGAGCCTCACACACTGGACATTTTGACCTTCTAAATATACAAGTTGCAAAGTGAGTATATAATGTCTGAAAATACAGCAAGGAAGATAACAGTGGCAGAGAGCACTATATAGATAAAAAAAAGCAATACCGTGTTATTGGTTTATGAAATAAGACCGTATTATACATTGCGTTAGAGAAAATATTGTAGACAGGGATTTCAGAATTATTAGAGGTATAGAAAAGTTGTAGGAGGAGGAATAAAGACTGTATTGCTTCACTTAGGAGATGAATACGATAGATCAGGAAAGACGTATAAAGATAATAAATGGTATAAAGAAGATAAATGACATTTTAAAATTGTTTGTCGTTCCATTAGACTAATTAAATTACATTTCAAAACAGGTAAAGGGGGGTGGATTTTTTAATTTAATTTTATTTTTATTTTTTAGAAGGTGTGTAATATCTGGAACTCAATGCTGCGAGATGCTGTAGAAAACAAAAGCCTTATCCAGCTTTAAAAAGAATTAAAGTTTTGGGTGTATAATGACAACTTGTACAGCTGTTCTGGAGAGAATTAGAGGCATGTTAATGTTATGACACTGCAGTGTTTTAAGCAATGAGGCAAACACTGATTTTTACAGAGCATCTTCCCCTGGGAAAGCAGTATGTGGTGTTTGACACTGCAGTTCGGATTGCAGGATCCTTGTAGGTCACTGGATTTACCTCCTGTAAGAACCAGGATTGTAAATCTTACATCTTTGTGTATCTTAGAGGTTTTTTGTTGTTATTTTTTTGTCACAGCATCAGAAGTCTTTGGACTTTGACACTGGAAGATTAAAACTGAGCAAAATTTATGTTACTTAGATGGCTTATTTAGCTTTATGCATCCTTTCCTTAATACTAAACTTTCTTGAGTCCATAGGAGTGATATTTCAGCTGCAACAATGACATCTAGGGGCTGATTTTTATTAACTTTAGATATAACCTCTGTTGGAGAGGATGGTTACTACTATGTTCACTAAATTTCAATTAAAAAATCTGTAATCTGATATATGTTGTATATTTGGAGAGCATATATCAGAGTTTAACTTCTTATTTTTCCTTTTTTGTTTGTCCTCGGTCTCTTTTAATTATTTTAGTACTGCTAACATTGCAAATCAGTGAATTTCTCTTTCCTTTCCACCTTTTCAAGACATTTCATTGAATGACGAGATTTTTTTTCACCCCATACTTTAAATATACCTTTTTTGTTACTGAAGTGGGAATGCCCTGACTTTTCTCTTTCATATGATTAATTTTGTCTTCTAAAACTGCATCTACTTTGCTTTGTGTAGGAGGTGAAATACAAAGTCCTTTTATTTAATCCCCTGCTTCCCCTAGCTTTATGGGTGTGTAGATATACGCTTGACTCCAAGTTTAAGGTGTATGATTCACAACCACCTCTAAACTATATGTAAATCCAATTTTATATATGCAACTAAGTATTTACCTCAAATATATAATTGCAATTTAGAGACGATTTAACAGAATCTATCCTATTATTTGCAAACTTACTTCCTTTCCCTTGTATCATAGTTACTTGACCGTGAATCCCTTGGAGCTGTGTTTTACAGAAAAAGTAGTGAATTTTCCTTTTTCTTCAGCTTCTTTACTCATATTTGCAACATTTTCTTGGCAGTGACAGGATACAAGTCTACCAACAGGATTTTTTTTTTTTTTTTTTTTTCAAACAGACCATACTTTGGCATAACAGATTGATCATCTTTGTCCTTGTCTTTTTACCATTAAATGTGATTCTTCTGTAATGAAGTTGTGTAGGGGCATATAGTCTCTAAACACACACTTTGCACATCTTTCATAGTACCTAATAGACAAATCCTTTCAACTTACTTCATTGACTTATTTATTTCTCCTCCTAAGCCTTATAGAAGAAAATTTACCGAACTTCGCTATTTTACACTTACAGCTATGTTTCCTCAAAGTATATAAAAATATCAGTATGACACTCTGGAATTGTCCACCCTGTTTTGAATTCCATTTTAAAGAAGAAAATGAAAGAACTGCAAAGACATTCTACCAATTTTAAAGTCTCTTTTCAACTAAGGTAAGTTTATTTCCAAGTTTATCTGTATAAAAGTGAGGATGTTGGTGTTTTGGCTCACTCTGAAACTTCCTGAAGATTCAAAGTTTTTATTTATTTATTTAGTTTCCCCTAATCCTTATCAGTGTGTGCACATGCTTTTCTGCAGGTGCATGTACACACGGAAGAATGATGTTTTCATTGCAAGCATGCATGCAGAATCTGAGCACAATGAGCATGAAACTATTGTGGGAAGACAGAGAAGTCCACACGTTCTTAGTTTCTGAGCCTTGCTACTCTTTATTAGACCTGAGTAGACCAAAATGAACCATCACACTTTTCAATAGTGACCTTGAGGTGGCAGCAGCATTACATTCAATTCTGCCATCCACCAAGTCCATTAAAGGTGAAAGTAAAATTTGCAATAAATCAAAATAATACTGATTGTTATAATTTTATTACCAGAGCATTAAGTCAATAAAACTTATCTGAAATGTCATTTGCATTGTATACAATTTTTACTAGTTATCAAGTATATTTTAAAAGCATGTTTAAAACAACCAAATGAAGAAATCAGTGATAAATTGTTGGAAAGCTGGGACTTGTCTAATGGTGTAGTAAAACTAAAGTCTGTTTTGATCTCTTGTATTGTAAAAGATTGTTTCTGAAAGCATTTGTTAGTACAATAATGTTTCATGTCTTGACTAACTATATTTAATACCTTAATGTCTGATTAAATATTTTCCTCCAAGTTGTCAGGTCCTTTTTCATTCATGATTTTATGTAGGAAGGTCATCTAATTATATGACACCCTTTCAGTAAAGGAGAATGTGTTTGTTTCTTTTAATAATGAGGAATAATGAAACTTATTTATGCTGGAAGTCAGAGAAATTTATTGGAGAATTACAACATGAGAAACACGAAAATTAAAAAAAACTTTTAATAGCATATTCATTACCAAGAAGCTTGCAGGTAATGAAATAGTTGTATGAAGCCAGTATATTGGGTGATATAATATTGCTCGTGTCAAGTTTCAGGACATGGTTATTATGCATTTTGACTTTGTCAATTACTATTAGGTTACTAAATTATTATTAGCTAATTACTCAAGGTAGGAGGGACTAGAAAAAAAGGTTAAAAGCATTTATTTTTATGAACTTCTTAAAGCTACTTCTAGCTGGCACACCAGTTAGTCTCTTATAATACTGCACAATGATTATGTCATTTGGGTGGCTGTGTGGGTCATGTATTGCTGTTCAGCAGCAGTAACGCAAGTTTGGGCTAGAAATCAAAAGATACATCCATTAAACAATGATGTTAAAGTAAATACATTCATTTCAGCATTTAATTTTGCATTAAATGCAAAATAATATTGTTTGTGATATGGTTATGCATTCAAAGTGATCTGAAGGAAAAATATCCGACACACATAAATATACATAAGAAGTCCAAATACAGATTTAAAATATTTAGTATAATTATTTTAACAGTTTATGAGTAATTGAAGGAGAAATAGTGTTATATTCATTGTCTAAATTTTGAGCTGTGGGGCTTTTAGCTTTTCACTAAGGCATGGTGTTCAGATTTCTTTTTCTCTTCTTATGTTTTACCATTGTTGACCAGTTATTTTATGAAAGCTCATTTTGCAACATTTTCAACTCCTCATGAAATAAGAAATCTAAATATATATAAATATGTAAACAAGATTATAAATGTTAAATTATAACTTCAGCATTATATTAGATTAGATTAAAAAAATGTGCATATAGAATCTCAAACCACAAGGCAGAAGGAGATAAGACGTGAATGCTGTTTGGGCCCCATTAGAGGGTAATAATAGAGGAATATATAATAGAAGTTGCAGACATTCCCTGGTTTCAACCTACAGTAAGCTTGTTAGTATTCTAGTGCTAGTCTTACTTTTGTCTAATGTTTGTGCTTCAATATTAGACCTTGTTATCCTTGTTGGAGTCATAACATTTCTATCTCAAATGGTACCAGTGCTGAAATGGAAGGTGTCTGATGTGTTCTGTATCTTTCAGTTAAACCGGGTAGTGTCTGAAAAAGTTTATTTTATTTTGAGTGTAAAAATTTGCATAGTAGAGGTTATTTTTCAAAGTTTTCAGTTGGCAGTACTGTTGTTCTGTAAAATAACATTACCTAGAACATTAAAATGATCATTCTGAAACATGATTTATAATTATTTGAACGTATGTGTAAAAAATAGATGACCATTGTACATTTACAGTTGACACAAAGGTCCCAAATGTCAAGAAAGCACTCTTGACCTTGATGGGTAGTTGCAATTCCATTTAAATCAATTGCCAGTACAAGTCAAATGAAGTTCTTATGGCTGTCTAGTGTGCACTTCCCTGTTCTTCTGACATTATTGTTCTACTCCAAGTCATTCTTCAATCTTTTAACAGCTGAAAGGGACCTGAATTCTGCAGCTTTATGGGAACAGAGCACTAAGTTTTACTTCTCTGTATTTTGAAAGCTTTCACTCTTTTTTCTTGATTTTATTTCCAAGCTAAGTAAACTACATATTTCTTAATAAAGCTGAGTACTTGTTCTTTTGCTGGAAAAAAAACCATATTTTACTATTACAGTGAATATTCATTGTGTTTTTTATTACTGCAGTTCTATGATTTAGGCACTTAATTTGCTAGAAAATAAACGTATCTTGTAACTTTGAAAATTGGACATATCTTAGTTAGTTTAACCTTCTGAAAAGACTTTCACTATATTAAAGATGTATTATAAATGATTTGTATTAAAAATGAAATTGAGTGCAACTTCCAGAGTGTTTAAGGGATGGAAGAGGAAGGATCACAGCAAACATAGAAAATAACTTGAAAGATTTGTTTTGTGCTTACTCTTATCTAGACATTATTTTTTTTCAAAAATTTTGGGTGAAACTGGTGATGATATAGAAAAAGTTGTATGAATCTATGTTAACACATTTTATACAGGTGCAATGCAACTTTCCAAGATTTGAAGGAAATAATTCATTTTAAAATGTATTTTATTCGTTGAACAAAATAAATCAGTGTTTAATGAGCAGGTATATCTTATGTGCTTTTTGTACTCATCTATTACATATATGCATTTATTAAAATATTTGGAAATTTCTGCTTCTCAGAAATAAGCTACATGATATAAAGTCTCTTTAATATAAAAATCTCAGTGGCATTTTCAGTTGAAAACTTACAAGAGGTTTACTATTTCTGTTCAGAAAAGATTTTTTTACTGTCAAGGTGTGTGCTTAGGAAAAAAAAATGTGTGTATGTATATATAGAAAAAAAAAGGGAAAATACTTGTGAAGACTTTCCTGAAGGAAAAAAAAAAGATAAAAAGATGTAAGACATTTAGTTCTGTGTAGACTTTTTAATATACTACTTATTTATTCCCTAAGGATCTCAAAAAAATTCAAAAGGTCTATAAAATCTCTTTAGTGGAGCTACAGTAATATTATCTTCAGTTTGTCTTTTTGTGGTATCTGTAGTTCGTGAACAAGTTGTTTACTGCTGCTCACTCATTTCAGGAAGTTCTAGTAATATGTTGATCAACAATGGGATATTTATTTATAGTCAGAGTGTTGATGTATAGTCTCATGATCATCAAGTCTTAAAACCTTTAGGATAAGAGTAAGTCCACTTCTTTGGCACACCTGGATCTAAAGTACGAGTAATGGTAAATTCTGTACGGCTGGCTTTCTTTTTTTGTGTACTGTACTTTCTGATACTAATTTTTAATAGCTATAAAATGAGCAAGTAAGCTTCTGTTTCAAAACTGACTATTCTCTGAGTTATACAGCAATTCTTCACGGAATAATCTATAAAAGGTATGCAGAGACTCCCTCTTTCCTGTGGAAATATCATTGAGACAGAGGAGGATATTCAGTCAGAAGCATTCAGATGAAGACTGTGACTGAAAGGCTTTTAACTAGAATAATAAAGGTAATTCATAAATTCCTAACCTCCCACCATATATTCTGGAAAGATTCAACTTGAGCTGATGAAGTAGATTTTCGATAGAGACAGTATTATTGTGCAGTGCAGCATCAGTACCTTAAAAATTCAGAACCATTTATGACTTTCAATGTGATTATTAACGTTACCTAGTTGGAAGCTGGCATCCAGGAATGAGACAGGATAGTAGCTGGGCGAGGAAAATCTTGTTACGGAAACAGTGACTCCATCTTCTGGCTGAAGAGAGCAATTTAGGTATTTTTGATTTAGTCTTGATGACAAATGGGGAAAACTTTAGAGAATGAAATGAAAATGTCAATAGAAAGTAATGATGATAATTCTATATGTTCCTCATTAATTTTGCTATACTTCTGTGACTGCAACAGATTTCATATGCTAGGATAAAGCTTTTCTTTTTTTTTCAGATATATACCTGTAACATATAAAAATCTTTATTGAATTCAGGTTATATAGGGAAACTCGGTTCACTTCATTTTTTGAAAACAATTATGTTATATTCAAAGCAATTTAGAAATTGCTTTGAGACTATGGATTATTGTTTGACAACAAATGGCAGTATCCAGTATATCTGGTAATGAACACACATCGATGTGAGACATATGATTAGAATTTGTAAAATGTGATCTAGGAACTAAATTCCTGATTTAGGAATTAATTCAATTCCCCTAGCTTATTTATTCCCTCCTGAAAGTATTATCCTTTTGTTAGGATGTAACATCCTAAGAAGACATCCTAGCTGATGTTACATCACAAAGATGTGTTATAAAGAAAGACAGACTGAATTCTGCAAATTGTTAATTCCTTATTCACCAAACATGGGCTGTTCTAGAAAATGAAAAAGCCCTCAGCCAACCTGAGCTAAGGGAAGCCAAGAGGTCATGCAAGTTGTCCTTTTTATTCCCTCTTTTTACTTTATGATGTTCTAATTCCAGCTTAGTATCTTATCTGGAAACTCCTATGTGACCATATACAAGCTCAGGCTAAAACTGTGAGTTTTATCTCTGAATTATCTGACTTTTACTCAAGGAAATCTTGAGGAGACACCAATTTTAAAATGTCCTTGGCTTCAAGTGTTAGAGAATATCAAGATCAATGATCTCAAAATCATTCAAGATTTGTTTAAAAAAGAAAAAAAAGAAAAAAGAAAAAAAAGAAAGCATTATGTACACTTTTAGACTTGCTTATATACATATGATTTTGAAAACAGATATTTTAGTTCACATCAATTTTTAAGAAAATCAGGATGTCTGTAGCAAAATAAAATTACCGAATTGTATTGTAGCAGTATACCAATTTCAATGGATCTCGAATATGACAGTAAGGATTATTTGTATGCATTGAGCTTTATGTACATGTCTAAACAACAACCCTATTTATAGTACCTTGTAACCTATGTGTACAGTTGGATAAACAGTTTAACTATTCATGTGCATTATTTTTATAAGATGGAGTGCAGAAGTGTAAGTGCACCCAAAAGGATAATACTCCTCACTCTTTTTGTGCTGGAGAGACCAGCAGGGACTGGCCATTTAGGGCTATCAGTAAACCAATACTGTGCTAGGGTGAAAGGAAGCATATGAATCATAAATGTAGCATGCTTCACCTGTTTTGTTGCTAGCTTTATGATTTCATGCTGCTTAAGCATTATGATTTTGTGATTGAACTGTCTGTTTTCCTCCCTTGCAGTGTAATAAGATGACATTGAAGAAAACCCTCCCCTTTG